GCCTTTGGAAAAACAGCCTGACAGTTCCTTAAAAGGTTAAACAGAGTTACTATATGACTCAGCAATTCCACTCCTAGATATATATATATATATATATTTGAGGTGAAATCATAGTTCCACACAAAAATTTGTACACAAATGTTCATAGCAGTATTATTTATTATAGCCAAAAGTGGAGACAACCCAAATAACCATCAACTAATGAACAGGTAAACAAAATTTATTACATCCTTACAATGGAATATTGTTTGACTATAAAAAGAAATGAAGTATTAATACATGTTACAACATGAATGACCCTTGAAAACATTATGCTAAGTGAAAGAAGCCAGTCACAAAAGGTCACATATTGCATGATTCCATTCATATGAAATGTCTAGAATAGGTAAATCTATGAGACAAAAAATAGACTGGTGGTTGCCTAGGACTGGGTGGGTTGGGGTGAAATGGAGGTGACTTCTAATGGGTATGGGGTTTCTTTATGGAGTGACAAAAATGTTCTAAAATTGATTTGTGGTGATGGTTGTACAGTTCTCTGAATATACAAAAAGCCATTGAATTGCACACTTTAAATGGATAAACTGTATGGTCTGTAAATTACACCTCAAAAAAGTTGCTATCAATTTTTGAAAAGCTATATCAATTTTGTTAAAGTACAAAAGCAAACACAAGAGCCTTAAGCCTGTGGTGCAGCAGCATTAGCCTGGAGAGCAGAAGTTGCACTTTCTTAACGGGTCTGTTTTCCCAGGGCAGTAATACAATTGGTGTGTGTGTGTATGTGTGTGTATCAACCCCAACCCACCTCCTCAAAACTGTTAGACTGCCAGAACAATCTAGCAAATTATGTTATAACATGCCATGGGCCTTGGTTTATAACTGTCATTGGTCACTTAAACTTATTTCCACCTGGAGGATTCACAAGTCATTTTAAAAGCAAACCTACCTCGGTTACTTGGGGAGAGATCAGTGATCAGAATGTGCTAATACAATGGCTATATGTTGAGTTGATCATGAGCTGACCCCCTTTCTGGCCTTTACCCATTATAAATTCTAAGCCCGTAGGTCTGTCCATTTCTAGACTCTGCCCATTCCAATAAAAGGTAGCAATCTTGTATTTGTGGAGTCTCTGATCTAAACACGCTTCCACAGTGTCTCTATTTCCCCCTCTGCATACGGCTTTATTCCAACAGTTCTTTGTGGTAATTCTATCTTCTCACTCTATCTTGATTGTAAAAATAAGAAGTAAGTTACCTTACTGTTTGACCCAGATAGTCTGAGCAAGACTTTTAATCTCTTTCTTGAAAGAGAGAAAGCAAAGGGCTAAAAAATTGTTTTTAGCACTGCTGTTAAACTAACATGGTTATGGTTGTTCTAATAGTTGTTTTATGAAATACCTTTAAAATATGGCATCTTAGAAACAAGTAGTAGCCCACTGGGAGGATCATTCTAAGTTTTATAATGTCCTTTGCCTACAAGAAATCAGATTTCCCATGGTTTGAATGAAGAATCATATCTGGCCCTAGCCAGTTTGGCTCAGTGGCTAGAGCATCAACTAGTGGACTGAAGGTTACAGGTTTGATTCCAGTCAAGGGTACATACCTCAGTTGCAGGCTCGATCTTAGCCTCAATTGGGGCACGTGCAGGAGGCAACCAATCGATGTGTCGCTTTCACATTAGTGTTTCTCTCTGTCTTTCCCCCTCCCTCCCACTCTCTCTTAAAATCAATGGAAAAAATATCCTCTGGGTGGGGATTAACAAAAAGAAAAAAAAAGAGTCATATCTGGTATCTGAAATATAGTTTGATACAGCTGCCAATTTTACTGATATCGGTAGGGTATGGGGGTGAGGCAGGTGGAGGGTGGGGCATGGACTGTGAGTCAGACTGCCTGGTTTTTAAACTGGCTTCACCATTCTGGGCAAGACACATAACCCCTCTCTGTCTGTTTATATGTAATATGAGGGTAAATTATAGCACAGAGATGTCTGGAGAATTAAGTGAGTTCATTGTATAAATAGATAAAATGCATAGAACAGTCTGGCATATAGTAAGTACTCCATACATTTTATCTGCTATCACGATCTTTATCAACTTCACCAACTGTTGCGGTAGGAGCACTATTTCCTTTCTGCCAGAATCCCATTGCAAGGAACCTGGACTGGGTCCCTGAGAGCAAATAAGTCATCCAGGATGAGGTCTCCACCTAAGCAGTGGGGTTCAGTTCAGACATAACAAGACCATTTCCCTTCTCCCTTGGTGAGACCATTACAGTCTCTTAGGGCCTGGTTCAAACACATAAACAAACAGATCCAGGAGGGGAACTCAACTTCCCCTAAATAAATACATTTCAAAGTTCTGAGGTGAGTGAGCAGATCTCAGCCTCAGGACATCCAGGGTGAAAGAAGTCACTCCGTAGAGAAACTTGCAGTAGCTCCCTTGAGTGTTCCTTGGTGCCATGATCTGTCCTGTTCAGACTTCCTTTAACTATAACCCCAAACCTTGCTGACACAGGGTCATGCATTCCAGTCTGCCCAGTCTTGTTCTCCTGCTACAACTTACATTCCCTGACTGTTTAGTTTGGTAATGACCCTGCCTGTCTGCCCTCAAGTGGTGGTTTGACCCATAGAGCAACTCCTGCTGACCTGTGGTCTGGTAAGGAATGTTGGGTCTTAGCCAATGATATTGTGCCTGTGTTGTGCTCAACTCTACCTGTGGCCCATGGACACTTCTTAAGTCTCCCTAACTCTACTGGGACTCCTGGCCAACTCAAGAGAAAGCACCTTTTTTTTTTTTCTCGAAGAGGAAAACATAGGTACACAGAAATTAAATTATTTGTTTAGGGAAATAAAGAAAAGAGCTAGAAATTTAGCTGAGCCAGAATTAGAACTCTGTGTTGTGCTCAACTCTACCTGTGGCCCATGGACACTTCTTAAGTCTCCCTAACTCTACTGGGACTCCTGGCCAACTCAAGAGAAAGCACCTTTTTTTTTTTTCTCGAAGGGGAAAACATAGGTACACAGAAACTAAATTATTTGTTTAGGGAAATAAAGAAAAGAACTAGAAATTTAGCTGAGCCAGAATTAGAACCTTCAGATCTCATTGCATCTAAATGTAGTAATCAACAAGACTTCATCCTTAAATAAAATGTTGTTTTTAATAAAATACTGCACATATATATTTTTCTTTTCAAAGATGGTATGACCAGGAAGGTTGGTGTGAATGATAATATATGGCGAACTACATAATTAGTAGCAAAAACAAGGACTCTCAAATAAATAGACTTCAGCATTTTTTTTTCTAGGACATATTCTGCAAACCAGCTGACACTGGAGGACAGGCAAGGAGGCTTTCCCTCCAAAAATGTGCTCTTGGTTGGCGTGGGATAGAGAAAGGAGTCATGGGTACCCGCAGGAATCAATAGTAACATTGGAGTGACCTTCTGGAGAGGGGAATCCTTGCCTCTCCTTACCCTTTTGCCCAAGATTTCAGGGCTCAGCTGAAACAGAAAAAGCTCCCCCACAGTCACCTTTAGGCATCTGAGTCTCCAGCAGGGCGGGTGTGGAGCCAGTGGAAAATTCTGGGGAAAGCAGAGCTAGGCTAATAAGGAGGAAGATCTAGGGTGACAGAGGAGAAGCTTGACTATGCCTGAATGCTCTGACTTAGTACAAATGTAGGTCACTGCAGCCACTCAGAAATCCTGGTCAATACAATGACCACAGCTACATAATAGAAAAATACAAGATGCAGAATTACCCCACTAACCACCTATTAATTACACTTCAGGTTGGTCCCCCACTATTGAGAGTTCCTCACCTAAAGGTTTAAGTACAACCAAAGCTATTTAGGTATTGTTTGACATAATTTGCATGATATTCAAGATGCTAAAAAGTCCTCCTTAATCCATCCTTCCTTTCCTATCAAATCCACTTCTCTTTTCTCCTTTTCTGGATAAGAATGAGCCTGGGTAGAGCATTCTCAGGTGGGATTCCCAGCCTGGGACCGAGAGCTGTCCCCCTACCTGGAGGTCTGACTTTTGTGTATCTGACAGAAGAATGAGTAAGTCTTCGGGGGGGAAAAACCCAGAACTACCCGACTTCTAACAGACAAGGCTTTCTCAAATACCCTTACTAGTTTTTCAAAAAAAAACCCATCCCCCAATACAATTAGAATTGCATAGGAGGAAGGGGGTCACTCAAGCTGACTCAGGCCCTTCTGGCCTCAAGTGGGCTGGCGGGAGACGCCGGCTGCCCTCAAACATCGGCTCAGTCATTGACTTTAAATACTGAAGTTTCCACCTTCCTTACAAAGACTTCTTGTCGGACTGGCCCAGGATCCGGGCCAGGCAGTAGGGGATGAGACTGACAGACGCCAGGGGCACTGCTGCACTTTTGCAGAAGGACAGGACGTAGAAGATCATCTCGACTTGGGATGGGGGTTTCAAAGAGTCAAAGAGGTGCAGGAGGATGAGGGAGGCCACGATGCAGCCGAGGCGGAAGGGGACCCACTTGCTGAGTTGGCCCTTGCAGCTCGCCCTGTACATGCTGGAGTTGAGAGCCAGCCCCAGGCCAAAGAGGGTCCCCAGGTTCTTCAGGAGGCTGGCAAAGGGCGTGGTGTCGATGTGAACCCATTCTGGCCGCTCACACCACCTCTTGGCTTTCTCTAGCGTCCACAGGAGGTCTACACCCAGCCCCTTCAGCAGCAGGTAAAATCCAATGGCAAAGCCGAACAGGAAGAAGGTAATGAGGAAATACTTCTTGAGACTGGCGTTGTAGATGCCCTGGATGTGGCGGAAAGTTTCAGCAACCGCAATGCCTGAGCGGGAGAAAGAGTGACGGTAAGAAATAGGAAAGACTCTGGACCTTCAGCTAGAGGTGGGTTGGGACCCAATGGGTGACATGTCACCTGTCACCCATTAAATCACAGGTGCTAGATTAGAGGGTCACCTGGTTTATTCCCGTATGTGGCTTCGGCCTTTCCTCACCCATAGACTCTTTCAGATGGAAGAGTCTTGTTCCATACATCCTCCTACTGCCTGCCTGTTTCCTGTGTGGGGTCCTCATGTCTCCCATTGAATAGCCGCGGGGGTGGAGAGCTCACTCCCACTTGGGCAGCCCATTTCCTCTCGGAATGGATTTGATTATTAAAACATTCTTTTGCTGAGCTGACTGAAGTCTGTCCCCCTCTAATGCCATCTGTTGGTCTCAGTTCTTTCTGCAGGGCTTACGTGGTAAATGCAGAGCCTCTTTAACACATTTGAGGATAGTTATTCTCCTCTCAATCTACACATTCCCAGGTCTTTCATGTAACATGGCTTCCAGGCTCCTTCTCAAACATGGAACCCAGTACTGGATGCTGTGTTACTTTGTAGTTGTCATGAACTCGTTGTCTCTCTTGTTCTCAGCACTGTTTTCTGCTCTTACAGATCTCCAGGAAAAAAATCCACAATTGCCCTAAGGTTTTATATTCCTATGCCTACCACAAAGCCAAGAAATTCTTTCTACACTTAGCCTAAATCTTTTCTCCCGCTCATTAACTGGATATTAAAAAACCACAAATATTAAAAACTCTAAACCTATGAAAATGACCAAGTGTGAGTATGTATCTATTAGGTTTGCAAATGAATTTATTTAAATAAAGAGCTTTCCTAGGACACTGTGTTAATTTGTTAAGTTTGGTAGATTCCCTTAAACGAGGGGGCACTCCCAAAGGAAAATCAATAAGAAATAAAGATTGTAAAATGCTCAGAGATTTCAAGCTAACTTAATTGGGTAGGTATTTGGTGTGGTGCAGCTTGTCTGGAACACACTTACATGTAGATCTGGGCACTCCCATAGAAATTAATCATTATAAATGACCTACCCTTGACTTTCAGTCCACTAAAATGCTGACAGCATTGGTAACCACAGACTATGGCTGGCATGCTGGGATTTTGTCCTGCTTAGGGAGAAAGGGGATACGTGGGGGAGGAAGGGAGGGATCCAGAGCAGCTGATACCTGACAAGACTCCAGCCACCACCTGATGGGGAAAATGAGCAGCAAGGTAGATTCGTGACAGACAGACGTTCAGCTGCACGGCCCAGAATCCCAACCACAAAACGATCTTCAAACACCTGCAACGGAAGAGGCAACCATAACAGAACCCAGATACACACCTTTCAGCAAAGGGAACAG